TCCTGTCAGCAACTCTCCACCAAGGAGTGGGACAGAAACCTTTCCACTGATCTTGGCTGCAGGAGTAAGGCCCTGGGTCCGCACATGAGAGCCGGAAGTGGCATTGTTGACTCTGCCCTGCCCTCATATGTCAGTTCCCAGTGCTCCCTGGTGCCGCCACTCTGGAATCCTCCTTTAAGGGGAGCCCGGGGTGACCCTGCTTGGACAGCAGATATTGTACCCTTTTGGCCTTTTCAACCTGTGAGTAATGACAGCTCTGCCTTGCTGGACTTACTATAGCCCCAGGGATACTGGGGCATTGTGCAGGTAGCTCAGCTGCTCCTCACAGCAGCTTCCTAAGGAAGGTGCTATTGGTTATCCTCACTGTATAAATGGGGGTACTGGGTCATAGAAAGGACATGCACAGTCAAGATCGTGCACAGAGCTAACATGGTGTGATATTTTAACCCAGGCACACTGACGGCATAGTTAATGGTCTTCCCTATCATATCCACATCTGAGCAATGCCATGACATTTCCTTTTCCTCCAGGGAGAGATGCCCAGCACCAGCAAACAGAAAGGAGTTTAGTTGTTGTTGTTGTTGTTGTTGTTGTTTTCAGCTGGCTGAAGGCCCAAGGGTTGGCCGGCCAGGGAAACCACAGAGATGAGCAGGTTAGAACGGGGATCTCCTAGCCCTCATATGGGCCAATCCTAGGAAGGTGTCTTCTGTCTCTCATTTCCCCAGCTACTCTCAGCCCAGCTTCACACTGGGGAATCCTCTTCTTGATTCTCCTACTTAACAATGAACAAACCAGCCTAGGAGAGTCAAGGCAAGGAAATCATATAAACAGATAAAACAGTGAGATGTGTGCCTTTGTCTAAATCTAGACTTGAACTCTTCCAGTTCTCAATCTCTGCCCTGTTACGGGTTTCTGGTTATACTGGGTAACTTTGGAGACCTGGACATTTTTCCACATCGTTGCCTTTTGTCTGTCCTGAGTAGCCTGTAAGCAGGAAGGGCATATAATTCACCTGGCCATGAACAAGCACAGGCCAGCTCTCAGCCGGCACTCAGTGTTTATTGCATTAGCAGACAAGCTCCTTATGTCCTCATTCCAGGTAATTCTCCGCTTCATTTGCTCCGAAGCCACACAAGGCCAAAGGTATGAAGCAAGTTCAGTGCATGGCCTAGACACCACAAAACATGCCTTCCTCTTGATGATTCTCTTTTTCCAAAAAAGGTTAGAAACTTTCGAGAAGGTTCCACTGTTGGAGTTTTTGACTTTAAGCTATGAGGGGGGCACTGGATACGCCAAAATTGAACTGTGATTAAACTGTGTCTTAATTTTTGGGTTAGAGTCACCAGCTCTAAGGAGTTCTGGAGACAAAGCCAGGCAGGGGTAGGAACCTGGAGCCTGGAGAAACAGCTGGGCTGCTGAGAAGGCAGGCCTTTTAGCAGAGGCTGGCAAGTCTCCTGCCGCATGAGCCTGGAAGCCAGCATGACTTTCACCGTTCCAGTAGTGATAGGGACAAAGGACAGTTGGTTTCTTCCCAGTGGGGAGAGGTGGGCTAGGCAAATATTGGTAGCCTCCCCAAATATTAACTACTGGCTCTTGGCAACTTTCAATTCCAAAGTCTACACTGTGGCCCTAAGCACCAGAAAGTTGGAAGCTGCCATTCCCATTTAAGTGATGGAGAAACTTGGTCCCAAGGATCCCTCCATTATGGCTGCTCTGCCACCCTTCCTGCTAACTTCTCCTATGAAAATAGGAGATGCCATTTAAAGGGCAGCTGGTAGCACAATAGTCCATGTGGGACCCTCCACTTTCCTAACCCGGTTAAACTGGTGTGTGTGGGGGGAGGGGGGGTGCCTAGCACACTCTGACCTTCATGTAGTACTTTGTCAAGAACACTGAGACACAAAACAGCATTGCATAACCCTAGGCTCTAATACCTATTCTGGTCCACTTTCATGTACACATTTTTGTAGAAAAGAGGAGAAAGAAGAGAGATGCAGAGATTGGGGGTGGGTGGGAAATACCCTCTATGACAGAAGTCAACTCGCTAGGAAGATTTCCAGAGGAAGCTGCCTGACAAATAGTTTAGAACCATCTACAAACGAGGTTTCCTCCCACTTCCTGCCATCCATCTCCATCTCTCTTTTCATTCACCCTCCCTTTCCTTGACTCATTTCTCTAGCAAGGAGGGTCTCTCCCAAATTCCCTCTGCCCTCCCCCAGAGTCATCTGAGTGCTGCCTCCCTGGTGATGCTGCATTTTGGAAATCACAGAATCCCAAATTTCAGACAGTGCCAAATTCCTCTGTCCCTCCCCGAGGACCTGGCTCCGGACATGACTGCCCCAGGAGTCAGCAAGAAAGAGTGCAGATGATCAGATCATCCCAGACTCTATCCCCAGCGGCCCCATCCCAGACTACAGTAATTCTTGTGTGACTCTGGAAGAGGCAGCTTAGCTTGTCTGGGTCTCCATTTCCTCATCTAAAAAGGATTTCAATTCTGCGATTCCATCACTTCCCTTGCATGTGTGGGCTTCTGCTGGTCCATCTGGACCCACAGGGCAGACTCCTAAGGGTTCGACCCTGAAACCTAGGCAAGACTCCAAGCAAACAGGCAGAGGAGAAGGTACTAGAATCAGTCTCTTTGGGTGGTAAGAAAAGACCACTTGGAGCAGCCACTTCAAACACATCGTTAGCTCTTTCTACACTTGACTTGCTTGTGCATGGAGGCAAAGCTTGTCTGTCCACCAGGAGCACAACATCTTATTTTAAAGCAAGACAATAAGGTGATCACAGGTCCTCCTGTGGAAGTACAGCTCTTCCCTCGACAAGTCCACAGGAACAGAGATCTTAGCATTGTCTTTGAGCAAACGAGCAAAGAACAGAAAGGAGATGAGATTTGCCTAAAGTTACACAGAAGGTGAGTGTAGAGTTGGGAGACAATTCTGTATTGAGATTTCCAAGTCCACAACACCACTTTTGTGTCATTGTTAGAGAATAAAAAATAATAATAAAATGGAAGCTGGTGAGATGGTTGGTGGTTAAAGATGTCTGCTGCCAAGCCTAATGACCATAATTCAGTCCCTGGGACCTGTATGGTAGAAAGAGAGACCCAACTTCCACTAGCTGTCCTCTGACTTTCACACAAATGTACACATGTGCACACGCACACACACACACACACACACACATAATCTCTTTCAGTTCACACCTCGATGAAAGGGAAATCAATGGCTCCATTTTATAGGTATTGAGGCCAAAAAATGTGTATCTATAGCCACACAGCCAAGGACTGGGCAGAGATGTCAAGGGCAAATAGATTTTAAGTGGTGGGGTCAGGTTCAAACCCTACTATGTGAAGGGTTTTGGAAGAGTAGGGAGGGGGATTCCACACCTTGTACTAACATGGTGGATGACTAAGCTTGTCCTTATGCTGATGAAGAAGAGGCACACACTCTTCCAGAATCAGCTTAGCTCTAACTCCAGGCTTCATGAGCCTGGGGCAGAACCTAGTTTACAAGGGAGGATGTAAGCAGTAGAAACCAACCCTCTTCTCAGCCGCTCTGCAGGCTTCTCATGCTTACACGACTTCCTCTAGCTTCTCGTCAATCTGAAGAACTGAGGTTAAATCTTTATTATTCTTTGGTTATTATTAAGACCTCTTAAAAGAACGTTCCCTCAATCCTTGACCATATCTCCTATGGCTGAATGCTGCTGCTGCATTCCTCCAGGAGGTTGAGTACCAGTCACTACCTCAGCCCCTCAGCTTCCAGTGGCTCACAAACCCATGAGAAGGAGTAGGGACTATATCATCACGTTCATTGCTACAACTCCAGGGTCCAGCATGTGGCCTGTTTTGCAGTAGCAGTGAACATTTGTCAAATGACTTACTCCTTCATTCCATCTGCACAGTTAACTGAATTCCTATTAATGTGCTAAGACTGTCAGCTCAGAGGTAAGTGAAATGGAGTGCCACCTAGAGGAAGTCTCCATCTCGGGGTGCAAGATAAATGTAACCACCAGTATCACCTGAAATACTGTAGTGCTTCTCAACCTTCTTTAAAACACAGTTCCTCATGTTGTGTGACCCCAATCTATAAAACTACTCCATTGATACTTCATAATATAATATGCTATTGTTATGAATCATAATGTAGATATCTGATATGCAAGATATCTGATGTGACCTGATCCCCCCAAGGGACTGGTGACCCACAGGTTGAGAACCACTGTAACGTAGAGAATGAATGAATGAATGCCAACTTATGGGGAATGAATGGGTTAAGTCCAGTGGGAACACAGGAAAAAAGAACTATCCATCAGCCAGGGGCATCCCAGAAAGCTTTGCTGGAGGAAAATGAGATGTTATTATAACCTTAAAAGATGAGGCATTCACCTTAAGATTGATGGAGGAAAGAAGCCTGCATGTCAGTGGAACCAGCCTGAGCAAAGGTATGTGAGAATAAAATCATTGCTCGAAGCTAGAGGAATATGTAGGCCAAGTGACAAAAGGTGCCTCTTTGAGACCAGGCCACTCATCAGAGATGGGGTAGATATGGAGGGATTGAAACACACTGAGTCATACTGAATAGAAGGAAAGAGATTTTGATGTTGGCAGTATAATTTATAGGCTCCTCTTGATTCATTTAGATTCATTATCATGTACAGACAAAATGTGATTAATTGTCTCCATAATGCATGCCCAAAAGCTTTGAGGGAACTCTGGAGCCCAGGTACACTAACTAGCCTTTCCACCACAGCTGGGTTTGGCATCCCAGGAGCAGGGTACCAGCCAGTTCTTGCATCATTCATGGGTCAAGCATCTGAAGAACCTTCTGGCACAGAGTATAGCACCACCCTGCTAGGTGTCACAGGACTAGGGCCCTCCTCTCCTGGCCAGGTAGCTGGATTGCCAGGCTGTTCCCTGCTTCCCACTTCTCCCCACAACCAGGGGGCAGGAGGTTTAGTAGATTTCTTGATGGGTGCATAGGAAGGAGCAAGCCAACCTGCCAACCTGGGCTCCATGAAGGTGTTGAACCAAACTGCAGCAGAGAGGCCCCGGTTTTCCATGGTTGGTCCATCCCCGTTCAGGTCCTTCTCAATGCACCCTGTCCATTTTCTGTTCCGATTTGAGGATTTTCGGGTCTGGAGGGAAAGTCCCTAGGGGACAACATTAGAAAGAAGGCAATCACAAGAGATTGACAAGAGTGGTGAGCACAGAAGGAAAGGCTGTGTCTTATCCAGAGAAGGGAGGGGGAGGGCGGTGGAGCCCTGGTTACTTTGCTGAAGGCTGCGGAGCTAGCACAGCCACAGAGACTGGGAAGAAAGCTAGCTAGCGGGGACGACCAGGCGGCACGCTTGGGGGAAGGGAGGCGGCAGCTCAGTGGGCCTCCGGGGTGTATGTGTCAGTGCCTGTGAGTGTGAGCGTGTGTGTTTGTGTGTGTTTGTGTGTGTGTGTGTCTGGCGGAGGGCCAGGGTGATTTCCCATAAACCACATGCCCCGTCAGCCCTCCCGCTTAAAAGGCTGTGCCGAGGGCTGGCCAGCGAAGCTCGGCCAGAGGAAAGTGAAAGTTTGCCTCGGTGCTCTCCGTGTGGCTGCCGTTTTCTGCATCCCGGGACAGCGGCGTGGCCCTCGGCCGGGGCGCAGCCTCTCTAGCCTGCAGCAAGCGACGGAGTGAGCGAACTAGGGCGGCCAAGACGCCGGGCCGGGACCCAGCTGCCCGTATGACCGCGCGGGGCGCCGCGGGGCGCTGCCCTTCATCGGTAAGCTGCACCCGCTGTGCGGGGCCCGGGCAGGGCTAGGGAGGGAGCTCTGCAGCAGCAGGCGGCTCGGCGTGGCCCCACGAGCGTACAGCCCCTTCAACGCCCGCAGCTCAGGCATCTCGGCCCTAGGCTCCGGCTTCCTAACCGCTTCTGCGCTAGGGCTGAGGCCCGCAGTAGTTCAGCAGCTGCTCTGGGGCTATAGCACTTTTAGGGATAAAGGGAAGGCTGTTCACCCCATTGAACGGAGGAAAAAATTGAGCCACCCACAGGCAGGAGAGAGAGGTTCGCAGCAATCGGCACAGGCCCAGGATCTGCCAGGATGATCAACCGGTCTCCAGGTACTGAGTGACAGACCCGTGTGTGGCATCATCTCCAGTCGGCATCTTCCTTTGGCTGTTGCACATGTTTCTAGGCCCTAGTTGGGAGTGGGCCTTCTGGGTAGGGAAAATTTAGGGCTACTCAGCTTTAGAATGTCAGGACCTGTGCTGAGCAACTTGTTGTCAGAAGTAAAGAGATGGGCATGCTGCTCCTTGCTCCAGACTACGGGCAGGAGCTGTTAGGGACTTAGGTGACTATTTGAGGAAAATGGAACTCCAGGGATGGCCTGAAGCTAACCCTAAACCTTTTTTTCTTGGCGAATTTGGTTCAGTGGGATGGAGCTATTCTGGGCTCAGCTGCTGGCTGAGGAGAGTGGGATGAGAGTTCCCAGCTGCAGAGCTGCTGGTGGGCTGCTAGAAATTTCTCCCAAAAGTGGCAGCAGATAATGCTCTGGCTCCTAGGGAGTGCAGGGTGGCACTTTCAGTGAACAGCAAGTGGGCTCGCTTCTGAAGAGAATGAGAGGGAAAGCCTCGAGGTCAGGAGAGAGTTGCAGGTGTTTGAGAGAGAAGAGGAGATCCTCTGGGAGAGAGGGCCAGCTGAGAGGTAGGAGATGGGGTTGGGAGGAGAAGAAGAGAAGGAACAGAAACAACAAGCAAAAAGAAGAGGCACCATGGGGAAATAAGGGGAAAGAAGGCCACTTAGACCAGATCAGTCAGAGGGGCCAGTCATGCTAGGTTTCTCCGAGACCTTACTGATTGGGAAATGGAACGTGATGTCTTGAAGCATTCTGAGACTGCAGCAGTTTCTTTCCAGGGCTGCTCCCATAGTGAGAGGCTGAAGCAGTGGGTGGGAGGAAGAAGCAAGCCAGGAAGAGCCTGTCCAGCCAGATGTAAGCTAGAGTATTAACCCCTGGGTGCCCATCTGTATCCTTGTCTATGGTAGCACAAGGGTTACAGATCTAGGATGGGGCCCCCTTTGGTCATCTTTGAAGTTAGTCTCTCAAATGGTAGCTGTGCATTATTCCTGTGCATTCTTGATATGTCACCAAAAGCCAGGTATCCCTGGGGTAATATCTTCTTCACCTTGCTATCTTCAAACACCAATAACTTGAAGTGCCAGGACTGAGGTCTTCTTCAACATCCCCATGCCCAGGTCCTACATACACCACATACACCATGAGCTGGTAGGCTGAGTGGCAACTAGCTTGGGTCAGTTACCTTCTGTACAGTCATTTCCTTTACCAGGTCCTAAGTGTGACATTCTGAAGGTCTGGGATGCCACTCAGAGCTAACTTTCGATTGCCCAACAGTGCCCAGCACAGTATCACCCCATGGCTGTCTGAACCTTCTTCTACACTCTGCCTCTGAGGTCAGGCCAGGACCCTAACAGACCCTGTGCTTAATGGCATTGGGCAACCCTGTGCCTCTTCTCTTGATCCCCACCTCTGTCTGCCACCCTTTAAAACCTCACTGAAGTCCCTCTTCCCTCATCACTGCCAGCCAATGCTGCCTTTCCCCCTGGTACACACTGGCAAGGCTGTGGACTTTTAGATGTAAACAGCGTTGTTGTGGACTGTTTCACAGCCTCCCAGGGTTTTTTCAATGTGCTCCTATTTGCAGCATTTGTCTCATCATCTGGACTATTGGGGCAGAGCCCAGATCTAGGAGGGTGCCAGTCATCACTCCACCCTGCCAGCATTTCCCTGAATTGGGGGACATCAGCTGCCAGAATGTTCAGGAGCTCCTTGGAGGCAGTCTCAGACCAGGGAAAGGAAGCCCAAGAGCCCCTCTGCCTCAGGATGGAATCCCTGGGATGCCCCATTGAGCTGTAGTGATGAAAGGATCTTGGGGAGGAGGAAGGAAGAAAGGAGAAAGAAAGGACCAAGTCAGGTATGAGGAGCCAGACCTGTTTCTCTAGAAATGAGCAGCTGCTGGGCCAGGTGGGTGCTGATAAAAAAAGGGGAGAATTTCCTTGCTGTGGCAAGAGTCTGCTGACTAGATGAAGTGTCTGATGGGTCTCAGATAGGCAGATGTCAGCGGTGAAACACACCATTGTCTTTGATTAGTCAGTTGTACTCTCCTCGAAATGCAAGTCCAAAGCTCCAGGAGGTCTCCCACTTAGGTTGAGTTCCCAGTGAAATGGAATTTGGTCCCAGAGTTCCCCCCATAGCGCCAGACCTGTGGAACCAGGTAGGAAGAAAGGCAGGATGCTTGTGGTCTGAGAGCTACTGTCTGACCACAAACTTGAAGCCAGCTTACAAAGGATTTGCCTCAGCGTTAAAGTTGAAAGGACAGGAAACTCTACCCTTGAGGAGTTTCCCATCCACGAGAACTTACACAGATTGGCACACCACTAACATCATTAGAAGTTCTCTGTGGGCTAGAGAGATGGCTCAGCATCTAAGAACACTTGTTGATCTTTCACTGGACCCAAGTTAACTCCCAGAACACACATGGTGCTGGCTTACAATCTTCTATACAATCTATACAATCTTCAGGTCCAGGGAGTTTCAAGAAGCATGCATAAGGTAGGCATACGTGCATGCGGGTAAAACATTCATAAATACAGAACAGGACTAAATAAATCTTTTTAATTTTTTTAAGTTCTGTTAGCTGGATGGTGGCATATGCCTTCATCCCAGCACTTGGGATGCAGAGGCAGGTGGATCTCTGTGAGTGCAAGGCCAGCCTGGTCTACAGACTTGTACATCTCCATGTCCAGGTCGTGTCCTCCACACCATATACACCATGAGCTGGTAGCCTGAGTGGCAACTAGCTTGGGTCAGTTACCTGGACAGCCAAGGTTACACAGACAAACCCTGTCTCAACACCTCCCAAAGCTGTGTTGTTGGGTTGGCCTGGTTTAATCTTGGAAAAGATGGCATTTGGTTTATTATCAAAGAAAGAGCAAAGTGGCACCCTGACTGATGAGAAATCTAATTTGGAGAGTGCTACATCCTGGGGTGTGAGGCATTAGGGGAATAGGGCTTTGTTTTCTGTCCTTAGTGGGCCATGGGGGTAGCTGGGGAGAGGAAGCACTGGAGAGACATGATTCCCTTCTGTCATAGACATGGCTGGGCCCCCGGCTGCTGCTGGTCTGTCTCCTGGTGAGCAGGAGCATTGCCAAGGAGGTGTCGGAACACTGTAGCCACATGATTGGGAATGGGCACCTGCAGGTCCTGCAGCAACTGGTGAGTATGAGACCACCCCTCCTCCTCACTGAGGAAACTGAGGTAGCAGCCCAAAGGCACAGTCAAAGAGAGGGCTTGCAGGAAGCAGAGCTGCCTGGATCATGGCTGTCCTGATACTTCTGTCACTGATCTTCTCAGGGTGGGGGGGGGGACCTTAGGTTTTCCCCTCGACTCTGAAGCCTTATCTGGGTCCCCTATAGGCAATGGGTAGGGCGGGCTTCTAATTGGTTGCCTGAGTTAATGGTAGCCCAGGAATGTCCACTATGGACTTTAAAAGACTCCGTGACCCTGCGCTGACTCAGAGAATGCCTCCTTTGGGAAGCCAGCCTGGTCTGCCTCCTGGGTCCAGATGGTTTATCCAGCTCCTGGATAGCCAGATCCTCTGACAGCCTGGCACTAGGGCCCCACCCAAATTTAGATGGGAGGCTCCAGCCAAACTCTCAGCCTTCTACCTTCACTTCCCTGACCCTTACCCTGAGGTTGGGGTGCTCTGCTCATCTAGGCCACGAAGGAACTCAGATCTGTTTCTAATAGGGTCAACAGAATCATCAACAATTCTAAATGCCATCCCCAGTCAGGGTCCAGTTGCTGTCATGGCTTATGTCCCTCTCAGTAAAGAATTTATCAACAGGGTGGGGTACCAACGGGTAAGGCCAACTCAGAGCTCTGAATTTGGGTCCTGGAGCTGAGCCTCCCAACCTCCCTCCTCAACACCACTTTTTTTTTTTAATGCAGCTTCCATAGCAAGCCAAGGTACATGAGTGGCATGGTGTTCTCCCAGGTTAAGAACTTGCTCCACGGAAAGGCTGGGGCTAGAGACCCAGACTCCCCAGAGCTTGGCTACCCCCTGCTCGAATTCTTTTCATGATAGGGTGCTAACTGCTTCCCA